CCCGCGGTCCAAACCTCCTAATGTCAGATGCTGTACTCATTTGTGCAACTGCTGACATTAATCACCTTAGGCCTTTTTTTCCCACTTCTTGAGTGCAGCTTTTTACTTAATGTAGCCATGTGAAAATGAAGACACTCCATATTTCCATTTAAGCACTCCAGGCTCTAGGCTAGCAATCCATGTTACCGGTTAGAGGCACAAGTGAGTGAAAGAGACACTACATCAAAGATGAGGCTGAGAATAAAAAGCCCATCCTGCGGTGGCCTTAATCCTTCAACACCTGCGATTTGAAGCACAGTGCTTTGATGTTGTTGGTTCAGCTAGAGAGAGAGACTTGATAGGGGGGGCAGAGAGTGAGATGTGAGATAATAGACCCATGCTCGTTTAATGCTGAACTAAAAAGGGAAAGGGAGTTAAGGTGAGCAATAGCATATCAACTTGTACATAACTCTTCAATGATTCAACTCCAGTAAGGTTTACTACTGTACTGCTCAAGGAGTACTAGGAGAATGCAGACTGGTTTTTCTAGTGGTGTCTGGAAGCAGAAAATATATTGAATAAAAAGCCAGCAGCAATTCATTTAAGACACTAGCCGTTAATGAGCTTGTCACAGAGTGCTGGACTTTTTTTATACACATTTCTCCTTGATCCAGACTTACTGTAACAGACTATAAACACAAATATCTCCACCGTCCTTACATAACCTAGTTGGAAATCAATTAAGAAACACTGTTTCTGTGTAATGTTTAAACATACTGCTCATTATGTATGCTTTCTGGTCAACGTGTTTCATTAAAGACTATATACATGGAGATGAGTAGGCTTGAATTCCCCTGTGAATATAGCCCTCGCTTCACCAAAACAGTCCAATTAGAGCATATGTAGCACAGCTCCCTCACTACATCACTCCATCTGAAACATAGCCACAGTGTGGGATGCAGAAAATACCAAAGATGTCCAAGTCAAACCAAAACAATGCCAAACTGAGTCTACGGGAAGACCCTCTACAAATCAGAGCTACAGTGGAGTCTGATTTGTGAGAAATATCTTAATGGTAACAAAGCTACATAATGGGAATGTCGTTTTTATACAGCAACATATGAGATTAAATGATTAGGCGGTTAACAGTAAATCAATAAATAAAATAAATAGTCGACTAATCAGTTGATTCAATTTGTAGCCAAACATTTCAAAAGTGAATAGGATCCATACTTTATTATTTATTATTTATTTACTCCGTCCTCTGGGATACTGAATTGAATTCCTGTGGGTGATCGATTGTTGTTAGGACAAAACTAGAAATAAAAAATATATGATTAATACTCATAATTAAATTATCCAAGGGCACATAGTGGCATTTTTATAACATTTAACAATGGTCAGTCAGTTAATCCATCAAATGGTCAAATAAACTGTTAGTTGCAGCCCTAAAACATACAACCACCAACAGCAATAATACCAGAACAATGGCAATACAATAATGTAGGCTAGCACACAATGGAGCGGTCTGATGAGGGACAGAGGGGAGCCCGACGCAGCGCTGCCACCGCAGGCCTTTCACTCTGTCCAGCACATGGGAAGCTCAGAGAACCAAAGCAGCACAACAGAAAACAAAAGGCAGGAAGAGGACTCATCCTGTCATTTTTACATAATTCAGATTATCTGAATTATTCCTGGACATCAGAGACACACAAACACCCAACAGGCTAGAGTCAGGAAAAGAGCAAGAGACATGTACCATGTAACAGTTGAGCATGAATGCCATTGCCCTATCTTAATAAATCCCCATGAACATTTAATTAGGACTGAAGTGGAAGCTAGTTATATATATTTTTTTTCTCTTGAAAATCTGATGATTTTATTTTTTATTGACTAATTGTATATAGTGAACAAAATGTCAGAAAAACCGTCTAAGTGACATCCAACAATCCAAAACCCAAATCTATTTCATTCATACTCATATTAGATAAATACGCCATTCGTCAAATCATTTCTGATTCAGTGCACCACTTAATTACTGCCATACATAAACTAATATGTATTTCCTTTTCAAGCAAAAATACTTCATAATATACCTTTATTTACTTTTATCTTTTGGGGCGACTGTGGCTCAGGGCGGGACAGTGGTCATCTACCAATTGCAGGGTCAGTGGCCAACATGTCAAAGTGTCCTTAAGCAAGATACTAAACCCCAAATTGCTCCAACCAACAGTGTTGCGTACATTGCTGAGGAATTGAGATAAATGAAATATTAATAATACAGTAGAAGAGATTCTAATATTTTAGTAATTGGAAGGATTTCAACGCACAGTAAAATCAATACAGCAATATAAGCCATGTTTTTTGTTAAAGGAAAATAGAAGCATGCCCAATAGCAAATTAATGTTCTGTATTATTATTATAAAAACAAAACAACGAACGATTGATGCTTAATTTTGTCTCCCCTCTTTCTGTTAATGTTAAATCCCCAATGCATGCACACCACAGAGCAGCCCCTCTCTCGGGTGCTTTGTTCAGAGCGGAGCATGTTGGGGGGTTGGGTGTAAGACACAGGGTGTGGCTTCACTGTTGTCATAGCAACAGAGTGAACCCCCCTCAACCAGCAGTCAGAATATGGTGTGGAGGAACTCAGTCTACATCCAATGACAGTGTATGTGCAGGCAGGCTGACCAAATTATTACAAACATGTATGCAATCATCTCCTCTGCCTTTGTGCTTGCACGTCACACTTATCCAAGCAAATTCTAAAACCTGTAATAGCCCTGACATCCTGTACCATTTCCTTTAGTGCCAGAGAGATAGGCTCTGTGGTTTCTCAAGAGTTCAAACAAGCAGAGCCCATCAGTTATAGCAGCAATCCTGCTCTACAGCAACATCTTCCTTAATAGGCTGCTGCTGTTATAAAACACAAGGTTTCATGACATTATTGGGATTCGTAAAGACGAGTCAACGGGTTCTTCATGTGTGTGTGTCTCCGTGGAAGCAATGAGCGCCTGACCTGCAGACAACCTCAACTAGGATGTTAGGAAACATATAGAACATAAAGCAGGAGGCTAATACTAGAAAGTAGTCCAATTCATTAAATGTGAATACATTAAAAGCTGGGTCAAATCCCCACCCTTGTGCGATGCTATTAACTGCCCCATTATTCAGTCACCAGTTCAATACTACAGTCAACATCGCTTCACTTTCCAAAGGTATTTGGATTTATAAGATATGGCAAAAGACTTTCTTTAGACTCCAAGTTATTCAATGGCATCTGCACTAATGAAATAAAAAAATAATGTCGAAAGAGCTAGATCAATACAGGATTCACTTTAAATAAATGGAGTGTTATAAGAAATTAAATGGACCATGACTTGGTGGTCAGCTGTATAAATTGCAAAACATTACCATCTGGTGGTGAAATGTAGCACTGCAATACACTGTTACTGGGTGAAAAGGGAAAATCCTTAATAATTCAATAAATGTAACACAACAGATGCCTTCACATCTGACAATACATGGTTTGATTAGTTAAAAAATGAGATTTATTTTCTGTGGCCTTTACAGTCACCAGATCTCAACTCAATAGAATGAAAGATGTCTCCATACAATTTATACAAAAAAACACACACACATATATTAGAAAACGGGTGGTCTCACAAAAGAGATTCAATTAATATTTCAGAAATGGCGAACCGAAGAGGATGTTAAGCGATGGCCTTTGTAAGATCATCAATGTATCATCAGGAGAAGCACTCAATATAATTTGCAGCCAGAAGGAGGAAAAATAGGTTAGTTGCTAAAAGGCCTTACCTTCTCATCTTTGGCTTGTTGTGGCTTTACAATCATCAGATGATTAAGGAATACGGACACACATTTAATAGCCTCTAAAGTTATAATTATGTAGATGTATGTCAGCTATATTATGTTTCATCATAGTCTCATGTAAAAGAGGACATGGCTACGTCTCCTTGCAGCTGTGAAACTTCCTTGTACATGCTTCTTCAGAAGAGAACACATCTTACATCAGATAACAAATACCTTGGCTTGTGGACACAATTGATTCAGAAAGGCTACTCACAATCCTCTGCTTCCTGCTGTCCCAGAGGGGGGAATAAGTACTCAGATATGTTAAAGTAGAAATACCAGTATGCAGGAAAACGGTTACAAGTAAAAGTCCTGCAATCAAAATGTTACTCAAGTAAAATAACTAGCATATAGTGAAAGTATTAGCAGCATCAACACACAGGCTACTTAAATTACCAAAAGTATAAGTACTCATTATGCCCATTTCAGAATCATATAGCCTATATGTTTTAAGTATATTTATAATTGATGCATTAAAGTGTCAGCAAAACTAGTAAAGGTGAAGCAAACTTTTTTTTTTGGTATGCTGCAGGGTAGCTTGAGAATACAAATAATACAAGTTTTAATCAAGTGTTCGTTGTATTTTATATCATTAATCAAAATATGCAAAGTAACTAACGGTATTAAATAAATGCAGTGGAGTAAAAGTACACGATTTACTCCTGAATTGTAGTGGAGTAGCAACACATGGAAATTGTAAAGTCCCTGAAAATAGTAATTAAGTACAGTACAACTTGCAGGTTTTTTTTTTTATTACATTTATGCTTAACCTTGCCTGAAAATTACAATTAAAAATGTTAATGCAGGATTTGATATGTTTTACAAGACATAAGGGCAGGAATTCAGAGGAAAAGGAGCCGTTTTGAGCTCTGCTACTAAAAACTGCTTTTTTTAACGTCATACGTCAAACGCGTTATATTACGTCAGATGGGGAGTTAACTTTCTCGGACTCGTTCTCTGCCCAATCCGCGGTAGTAGTTTGTAGTTGGTTTGAGCGGTTGTGATTTAGTGAGCTGGTATTTTTTCGGTAATTTTACATTGCATTTCACCATTTGTAATCATGGTGAGCTTGTGTTTTTGCAGGTTGCACAAACTCAAGCCTGTCAGGCCATCGAGTCCACAGTTTCCCTCACGGGAAAAGGACCGGAGCTAGCGTTCGTTCCTGGGTGCGTTGTGCATCCACCTCCCTGCAGCACATACTCCGTCTCCACAGCTTTATCAAGAAACCACATCTGACTGGACTGAAACATAGACTGTATATATAAGGACTGAACTCACAAATTTTGTCTCTCCGAATCTCAACATTTCCCACAGTTTTCGACAGCATTCGAATGCAGCAGCTGAGCCGTTTGAGCGCCAAACGATGTGGTTCCAATACAGTAGGTGGCAGTAATGCACCTTTAACGCTGGTCTATTTGTCTATGTTCTGATTGATATATACAGTCTATGGTCACAACCGTCACAACCCGCCTTTAAAGCGTAAAAAGAAGAAGAAGAAGAAGAAGAAGAAAAAGAAGAAGAAGAAAAAAAGCAGGAAAAAAGCGCCAAACGAAGTGTAGCATTAATAGTTTTTAAGAAATAAAGATAAAGAAATCAGGCTGGCTGGAGAATCAATATAAATATCCTGAAGGCTATTGATTTTTCTAAAGAGAGAGGAGGACTGTGGCTATGTTTAAAAACAAGTCTGCCTGGTTTTCAAGCAGTGTGCCACAGACATGTCACAACTTTTGGAGTAAGTAACCCATTATCAGGTCAAGCTAGCCTGCTAGTTAAGTGTATCAGATGCTTTATTATAACTATTAGCTGGTTTGGTAGCTTAGCCTTAGATCACAAAATAAGTTATTGACGTGAGCTAACAGGGTGGATTTGACAAACATCAACAACATTTAACAAAGACATGATATAGTATGTATGGTATGGCTACCTTTTACTGAATAATAGATATACTGCAAAAATCTAGTTTACAGATTATTAATGTTAAATGTGTTCATGTTTGTTCTAAATTGACATTCAAATAACACATTTTCTTTTTGTAAAATATATATTGGTTTGAGCTGTCTCGTGTGATTTGCCTACTTATGCTTCCCCTACTCCAGATAACACCACCTTTTGCAGAAAGGGGAATTACTACAAGAGAATATAAATACACACACTAATGAACACAATAAAAACAACATGTGTCTTTCAGGGCTGGAGGGTGGGAGCATTGCTGGTTGCAGAACAGCAGATTACCTTTTCAGTGAGGATGCTACATGTGCAGATACTATGAGGTGAGCATGATGAAAAACTGCATATTAATTATCCAACAAATAAGTTGTGAGTTATTTTTACAAGACCCCTATCGGATATAATTTTAGCCTTTTCTTTCAGGATATTTGAGAGCAAAGACTATCTTTGGAACAAGGTGGCGGTTTTTCACAGCTTGTTTCTGTCTGCCTGTGAGAGGCGCCAGAGTGTGAAGTCTGTGTGCATCGGTCATTATGTGCTGCCTCCAGCCTCAGTACAGGACGGTGAGAACGACTGCCCTACAATATATGAGGACGAATCTGAGTGATTATTCAAGAAACTATATGGGAACTCAGACTGCATACACAATGGTGTATGCTTAACCCTTACACAACCTTTTATTGGTTATTGCTTCAGCCAACCATTGGGAACCACTTTTGTAACACTCATACATTGTTCCTCTTATTATAATTTTAGAGGTGAGACAGGTGGTCGGTAGATTGATTTGGGAGTTTGAAGATGAGCAGTCAGTGGCACAGGTAGGTAAACCAGTCTAAATCATTTACAAAGAGACCGATCATGTAAATCATTTTGGTTCGGCTTCCTTCTGTTTCACAGGGTTTTAGTAGCCAGACAGAAGATGAGTGCAGTGAAGTCAGCAAAAGCAAGTACGTTCAGTTTCCACTATTTAAAATTGGATTTCCATACATTTTAAACTTTCAGTTAATTCATTAATTCACTATTTCTATTTGGCAGCTCTGGACCATCTGATACGGAGTCAGAAAGTGAAGCTCCCCAAAGTGTTCATTGTCCAGTAACTGACATGCACTCAGGTGAAACATTGATTATCATTAAGTGAATGTCCTTTTTGTAAAATATTTGCACTTGTTTCTCAAAAGTTTACAATAGAAGATTTGCCTTTAACGAAGATCTGGTGAAATAAATATGTACATAGTGAGACAAACCATCTTTAATATCACTTCATTTTCTGTTGATTTATTCCCCTACAGGTTACATCAGTATGGACAACCTCCAGAAATATTCAGGCGATCTGTGTGATTTCCATTCTGGATCTCTCCGATGCTCCCACTGTAAAGGCCACTGCTGCCCGCTGCACACATAAGCAGAAATGCATGAGAAAAGCATGTTAAAGGAAATAGAGTAGCTAATGTCCTGTCAAATGAGCACTGTGTAAGCAATAAGGATGAATACACCGGCTTAAAAATAAATCAGTGTCACATGTGTTATTCTCATCTCATTGTAAAGATGTTCAACACTATTCTATTTGTCTGCCTATTGTTTAATTTTTCAACCATACTCACTATTTTTATATAAATGGTACAAATGGAAGCATTTGCAAAGCCCTGTTCAGTGTCTGGTATGACAACAGATATAAGACTTGCCCTCAAAGGTGCCATACGATTTAAACTTGTTTGTTAAACTATAGCATGCTTAAACTTAGTCTGTAGTAATACCTTATTATATATTACTTTCCTAACTGTAAGGAATGCAGCACTGTTCTGTTACCAGGGGTCTTATTGACCAGCTTTTAGATCAACAGTGAGCATTGTAATGGTAAAACGTAAACTTCTTGCTTTCATTTAAAGCAGGGGTGGGGAACCTTTTCCCTCTCAAGGGCCATTTCAATTTTTTCAACATCCTCCGAGGGCCGTACAAATTATTGACCTCTGCTTAAAAATACTAAAATCACAGCACATTCATTTGGCCTTTCTTTCATGATGTGCAAAGAAAAAGCAACCTCTTAATCCAGATATCTTACCATGACTCGCGCATTCATGCACGTGCACGGTTGTGGCATGACCACCACAACAGAAAGATATGGACACAAAGATGTGTGCAAATGTATTTAGTTTCCTATCTGAGACTGCCAAGGCACACNTCAACATCCTCCGAGGGCCGTACAAATTATTGACCTCTGCTTAAAAAAACTAAAATCACAGCACATTCATTTGGCCTTTCTTTCATGCTGTGCAAAGAAAAAGCAACCTCTTAATCCAGATATCTTACCATGACTCGCGCATTCATGCACGTGCACGGTTGTGACATGACCACCAAAACAGAAAGATATGGACACAAGATGTGAGCAAATGTATTTAGTTTCCTATCCATGTGGACATGATTTAAGTGGGGGAGGACCTAACCTCCTCTACGGGGGTCCCGGGGGGCATGCTGATTTTTTTTTTAATGTTGAAGTTAAAAGCATCAATCTGGTGCACTTTGAGAGCAACATTAGGAGATCTATGGATACATCTCTCAACACCCATATGAAACAGAACTGTAAGCCGTTTTATTTTTCTTTATGGATATTTTACAAATCACTCCCCTTTCAAACTGTATTCTTGTTTATTAATAACAACTTTATTTTACTGTCATATAGTATTTTATACCAGTTTACTTTATTATCTTATTTTTTTATAATAACTATAATGATCATATAAAGGTGTGCCTTTCCCTCAGTGGTTGTAGAAAAAGCTTCTTATATTCGTTAGCATAGCTATTGTTAAATATGTTCTTTATTCTCGCGTCCAGGAGAGAAGCTTTAAAATGAGACTAAATGGAGTCTCTGAAAAGATTCAAATGGGATACTTTAATTAAAAAAGACGCGGTAGTGTTACATACAGAATATTGTTCCGGCAGAAAACAGCTGTGATCTGGCTCTCCTGAGCTAGAAGAGAAGGGCGAAATCCCCCGTTCGGTGCCGTTATATATCCTCTGCTGGCTCCTCCCCGCCAGCCGGCTCACCTCGCCTCTCATGTCCGTTGTTGCATTTAAACAGAGGATTGGTACTTTTCACCTTCAACATATGCTTAACACGCCTTTTCTCCTCATATTCTCTTTCATCACTTTTCATGTAACACATTCTAAACGCTGTAATCAATACTCTAAAACATACAGAAAATGCTTCACGGCTGGTTTGGTTTCCGGTCATTCCGGAAGTTGTCACATGCTACTCTCGTCTGTAAACAATAGTGTATTCAAATAAACTGTACTTTCATTTAATATTCAGCATGGTAGTATCTCGACATCTATAGTTGTAGTGTTAAATCAGTAGGTTTCGGTTTTCACCACACCACGTCATTTCGCTACTCAATTCACCTCTTTAGGAAATCGTATATTAGCCACATGCTAAATGCTAACCGTAGATGAAGGATTTTCAGAATAAAAGCTTAACTGCTTGTGCACAAGAATTTCTGGTTTTTCAGTATAAAAGAGCGTTTAAACTGACGGTATGTTTAAGCTACATTATACCATCAAAACATTGATTTTAATTTCTAACACTAGCTAACCAGATGCTAATAACAACTAAGTTATTGACTGTATGATCAGTATGACAGATGAACAGATCGCCACTGGGCTTTCAACTAAAGACACAGCCACGCAACAACTGCGGCATGTGTACGGCTCCTTATGGGTAGGCTATTGCCATTTTTGGAAGTGCCGGAGCGGTGTTCTGGTGCGGAGAGCACCAGAACACCGCTGACGGAGAGTCAGCACTACACCTCTGTCAGACGAGACATAATTACCACGTGATGACACGTTAGGCCCGTGTTGTGTTCAAGGACCCTGACCTTGGCCAGGAAAAACAGGCACTCGCTTGTTTCATTTTTTTGCGGTCTAGATTTCTTTCATTTTTTTCTTTTTTGCGTGTGTTTATAAATCACCCCGAGGGCCGTGCCAAATGGTCTCGCGGGCCGTATACGGCCCGGGGGCCGGAGGTTCCCCACCCCTGATTTAAAGCATAGTTAAATAGGGGTATTCAGGTCAAAGCTTGTATTCATATCACAGGTTTCCCTTATTCAACGATTTGTTTAAGAACAACTTGGTGTTGGTATTTCATTATCATCACTTCAGATAGAAATGTGAATACACTTTTTTTCTTCTACAATGCAAAATGTAATAAAAAGAGGAATACTAAAGTTGCCATTATTGATACCATAATGTCATCGTCAAAGACATGCCATGGCACTTGAAGCAATCTTTAGTTGAACATGTGTGTGGGACTGAGTGTTGTACGGCACTGAAAGAGTTTTTGTACTAACTAAGTCACAGTAAACCGATAGTAAACGCTCAATAGTCACTTGTAACACTCTTAAAGTAATTTAAAAAACGTTTCAAAGTAACAACGAGCAGCAGTAAAAGGAATATTAATGTAATGAGTGCTGTTTCATTGTTTGCAGTCACCCCTTCAAAGTGGACTCTTCCGCGGGTCTTGACCAATTACATGCTTTGTTTTTGGTCCCAGCCCCTCTACCAGGAAGGTGTATCATGCTGCTGGTTTCTTTTGCACTTTGACACTTCGCTCAATACCCAAAAGGGGAATCTCTCTTTGGACTCTGTTATTGTGTAGCTTCTTCTTCACCCTGTAAGGTCTGCTCAGTGCTGCGTCTGTAATGGCGGGGGAAAATCTGTCGGTCGTGCTGCACGCCAAGGGAGACCTCCGGCTGGTAGGAGACCACATCCAACCTGTAGCAACCTGTAGCAGACGATTAGTATGAATTAAGATGAGTGCAACCTCTTTTCTTGTTTGTTTTTTGCCGATTTCTCACAGGAAAATCGCCCTATCCCAGAGCCAGGGCCTAATGGTATGATACATCATACAATTAAATATAATATATAGTATGTGTATGTTACTTAGGGTTTTATGACTGAAAGGATTAAAATAATATTCAATGCGCAAATATCTTGCACAAATGTCTTTCTCAATTTAAAATCTGCTGCGTATCAAAATGCATAACAAATGCCAACTTTTTACATTTGTTGCAAAGGAATATAGTTCAAACTGTGGAGAAACTAGTCATTGCTTTGAACGTTTTAAAATGTAGTGTTGTTGTTTCCTCTGAACATCTTTGTGACTTGCAAGTGAATAATTCCAAAAAACTCGCAACATGTTTATTTTTACTTTTGTCATTAGTTTGCTAAAAATTCAACTGAATAGCCATTTTATTTTACTTCATTCATTAATTGTATCTGCTGAACAAATTCAGATGTAGGAAGGAGAGGGAATTCAGAGGTCTGGAATCATGCTGGTCCGTAGTGTCTTTTAGTTAGGTAACAAAACATGCACACCCTCTTATGAGTAAGTGTCGTGTTCTGCACCCAGAGGTTTTGCTGCAGATGCACTCTGTAGGAATCTGTGGATCAGATGTCCACTACTGGCAGAACGGCCGAATCGGGGACTTTGTCCTCACCAAACCGATGGTGTTGGGACACGAGGCAGCAGGGCGTGTGATGAAGGTCGGATCAGAAGTCAAGCATCTTAAAGTAGGTAAGTGGGCAAGCAATGTAAGAATCCGCCATTCTGTTTAAAAACTGAACACTCTTATTTTAAACTACATTTGTAATTCAAAAGGATTAAGTTACTTTGTCAAATCTGGTTAGTACCTACAGTACTTTAACAGCAATACACATACACAGTCATGGCACTGTAACTTCATACAGTGTACATCAGGAAGTCTTACTTAATCCTTAAATGTGTATGGTATTGAAATACATTTCTCACTTGGCCACAGTGTAATAGAGTTACCTGGACAAATTGCATTGTGTATTTTGTAGGTGACAGAGTAGCCATTGAGCCAGGCGTGCCCCGCGAGATGGACGAGTTTTTTAAAAACGGAAGATATAACTTGTCTCCTACCATCTTCTTCTGCGCCACACCTCCTGATGATGGCAATCTGTGCCAATACTACAAGCACAGTGCCAACTTCTGCTACAAGTGAGAGCTTGTTTTAACGATTGCATGGCTTTACACAAGAGATTGCCCAACAACTGCCTGATATTGACTACAAACTGACTCTATTGCCTAACCTTTGCATAAATCTTTTTTTTTTTCTTCTGTTTATCTTGAAATACCCAGGTTGCCTGATAACGTGACATTTGAGGAGGGAGCTCTAATAGAACCTCTGTCTGTGGGGATCCATGCCTGTCGCAGAGCCGGTGTAACCCTGGGCACCACCGTGCTCATCTGTGGTGCAGGTAACAATGAGCCAAGACCTTAAACTCAGACAATAAAACATGTCACCACTATTAGTAGGACAATTCCATCAGCAAGATGCTGCAGCTAAATTTGAGGAAGTGCCCCACATACAAAGAGATAATTGTACTGTGTTTGTGTTGCAAGCAAGACATGTAAACACACATCAGTGGGTGCAGTCACAAATATATAACTGACTCGACTGAACTTGGGTAAGGGAAAACTACTGAACCCTTGCACAACTTGTAGAGGCCTAATATTTAACAAATCCCTTATGTTGCAAAAACAAGCTAATTCTCATTCAAGCCACTCATGTAAAGCATTACATGAAGCTGACAGTCCTTTGAGGCTAATGTTACACAGTACTTGTGACAGCTGCAAACTCATTATAACATTGACTCTTTTTACTTAAAAAAATGTCATGCTTGAAACCAATATTTAAAACGGTCTCTAAAATAGGCATCTTTCTCTCTTCCCACAGGGCCTATTGGGTTGGTCTGCCTGCTAGTGGCCAAGGCGATGGGGGCCTCGCAGGTCGTCATCACAGGTAACACAAACCATTTATATACACAGTTAACATCTACTGTATCTTAACCGAAGTGACACAACATCATCTCCTGTTCGGTCTTCTCTTTTTGCCTGTAATGCTCCTCTGCTACTCAGATCTGGCCCCTGAGCGTCTGACCATGGCCAAAGAGTTGGGAGCAGACTTCCAGCTGACGGTGAAGAGAGGAGACGCTCCCCGGCAGCTCGCAGAGAGCGTCGAGGAGAAGCTGGGCACTCAGCCGCACGTTTCTATTGAATGCTCTGGAGTGGAGAGCAGCATTCAAACCGCCATCTATGTATGTGACTGCTCAGTTGTATTAGGAATAAATTAGAAAGTCTGGGGAAACTATAGACATGCAATGTTTACTTCTCGGCTATAACTTATAGCTACTAGTTGGTGATGGTATAGCTTTAACAACCCAACACTTTATTAAATGGTTGCAATTATCTCCACCTCATCATACTACAACATATAAATGCTACCTACATCCTAATACATCAGTAATAGTATTCTATTAGATAATATACAACACTCACAGTTACTTGTTACTTCTAGTTTGATGCTTCTAAAACATTTTGCCGGTAATACTTGCATACATTTTGATCCCAATGTACCTCTATGAAGCATAATGCTAATGAGCTTCAGTATAGTCATTTTATATTTACTTTTCCCTGTCAGGCCACGCGACCAGGTGGAGTGGTGACGCTGGTGGGTCTCGGCGCTGAGATGGCCAATATTCCTCTGATCCATGCTGCTGTGAGAGAAGTGGACATCAGAGGAGTTTTCCGCTACTGCAACACGTAAGAAAATAACCACTCATTTGCCCTTCGATAAGCAGACATTTAAGCAACACTTCAGGCAGTTTCACCTGAGAGCATTAATGAGATGCCTTGGTTGAAGCTCAAAGTAATAATTACGTATCACAGACTGAATTGAACTCGTGAATAAAATGCTTGTCTCACTGTGTTGCAGCTGGCCGAGGGCAATAGCCATGTTGGCGTCAGGTAAAGTGAATGTGAAGCCCCTGGTGACACACCGCTTCCCCCTGGAGCAGGCGGTGCAGGCCTTCGAGACCTCACGTCAGGGTCTCGGGATAAAGGTCATGTTAAAGTGTGACCAGAACGACCAGAAGCCCTGACCCACTGCAGGGAAACAGACCAGAGCCGAGAGCCACTGAGCGTGACAAGCAGACACAAACACAGGCTGGACGTTGACCCTAGAATAGATAACAGAAAGTTCAAAGAGACAAACTGCATCAAGTGGTACGAGACATTATTGAATGAGAATTTTTAAATGGTTTATGGTTGTTTATCATTTATTCCATTATACATTTTTTATAATTGTACATATGGCTACTGTAGTGAAAGAAAATCAATAAATCATACAATTTAAATAAAATGTTAGATGGCTTTTTGTGTTTTTTCCTGCACTACCTAATTTCAGACATCAGGGGGTACTAGAGGCTCAGAGTGAAAACGCATATCAGTGTTTTCGTCCCAATCCTATGACATAACATTCTACTTCTTTGTTTTTGTATACATGCCCTCTACTTTCCAGCATGAGCACAACATATTCAAGACATGCCTACAGTTATGGAACTGGGACAGAGATGTGTGCCACAACTCCACAAACAATAGTTCAAGCATAGAATATTTACAGCATACTAAATGTTGTGCTTTCCTATTTTTGTAGTTAGTAAAAAAGAAACCAATTTACATTACAGGGAAATATCCAATGAATGTAATACAATGCTAGGTCTTGACTAGAGAAAGAACATTTATTAATTCAAGCTCCTCCATTCACAGGTTTAATGTTTATTTACTTTTACTAACATTGGTATGTACTTTTTTAAGACACATCAAGTAACTCTTATTATGATAATAAGAGTGAATTTTGATTTTGACTGAAAGGTAAATGATTAAGAGAAAAAAATAAATGAACTGTTCATTTCAAAATAGTAGTATTAACTTTCATGGGATCGATTTAAAGTAAGAAACAATAGGTACAAACGTTGACATACCATAAGATACTTTTCCTCACCGATTGTTTTCTTTTCCTGGCAGCAATGGGCTTCTACACAAAACAATCTAGTCATGAACGTAAAAGGATAAAGAAATCACTGCACCCCCACTCAGCATATTCTGTTTCTGAACCAGAGTTCAGTTTGAGCCAGTCCAACAAAACCAGTCAGGTTTAACTCAGATTTTATTATCTTGCCACAATGACATGAAACTACTTTACGAGGCATGCACACAGATAATGTTCATATGGTTAAAATGTACTACAATGCATGGTAAACCTTTACCCGGCGGTAAGGCTCGTTTCCGTCACAGTGTGTGATTCACAGTTCTCTCTCTCTCTCCCTCTCAGAGCTGAAAGTTTGCCGTGACTAAACCTGTGTGTGTTTTTTGTTTTTTAAATGAGCACAATACTAGACAAGTTTCTCTTTATGTACACACATTCTAATACTGCTTATGGCAATGGGACAGCTCACACAACACAGTTACATTCACAATCCACTCAGTATGCATGAGTGTCAGTCAGGAACACTAAAGATGAACGAACGGTAGCACACAAAATAAACTTCATTTTTCATACATGTGACTTTGATATCAAAAGCATACTTGATGCATGTTAATAGCTTTACTTGGTTGCTTGTTATTTAAATGTGTGTGAGTGTTTGTACATGAGATCTAGAAAAGTCTTCAGAGGTTGAACTCGTGTATTGCCGTTAAAATGAAGAAAATCAAAAGGATATGGCATTTCTCCCATAAACCCCTGCTGCGAGCATTGGTTTGATTCACATGTACATTATAGCAACGTAGCATATTTAAACATTTCAAAACACATTCCCCTGTTCACTGGCGACTTTTTTGATATCCGGCATTTCATTTTGTTTTTGCCAACATCTCGGTCCATTTTTACTCAACAGCCAGATTCAATTAATATTTACAATCCTCCGACACCTTCCCTCGCAATATTAGCAAAATATGTATTTACATGATAAATAAATAAACAGAGAAGAAAATGAAACTATACAAGAAGTATAGTAGAAGTATCATATTGCATTACATGAATATAAAAAAATAAATTGTGACGCATTCGCTCGATAAGTCCGCCCGCACGATCTCACTGAAGTGACACGGAAAAGCAAAGACAGGATAAATATCACACACACACACACACACACACACACACACACACACACACACACACACACACACACACACACACACACACACACACACACACACACACACACACACACACACACACACACACACTTTCTTCAGCTGGTCAGATGGAAAAAGCATCTCATGTCAATAAAATGGGAATTTCATGTGAAGCACAGACAGGAGGAGATTGATGAAGAGCTATAGTCATCAGCTCAAAGAAAGAAATGATAAGAAATGAATTGTCAGGGAGAAGCCTCCTCCCCCGCTCACTGGTCAGCTTGGTTTGTCCCGTAACCTAATTGGACAGTCCCTGGACATCGTCTATATGTACATAGGTGTCTCTTGTCCTGTGAGGAGTCTGAACATGGCCGCCGGCATGGTCTTCATGTGAATCTGGCAAAAAAAACAACAAAAATCTCAATTAAAGGTCCAAATATTTAGATCTTGTCTTCATGTTTAATGCTGTAGAATATTGTCTGTATTATTTTCTGGTTCCATGATAAAAGGTTTGAGCTTTAACCATAAAACTCATTGTTGCCGTGTACAAAATCTTGCGCTAGCCAATCTAAAGTCCATTTACTGCATTGTGTGTATGTTCAAACACGTAGAAGTTCTGAGGTGATTAACTTATTCCTGCTAAATGCTACTTGATACTTCTACCCCTCTAAATTTCAGAGGTAAATAATGTACGGTTTGTACAATTATTAGTTTGCAATTATTTGACACTTACAGTTGTTAGTTTCCCTTTTTATAAAGAAAGACAAACAGCACTGTATAACACAGTACTAAAAATGTACCCAGTAGGATACAAATAATCGAAAATTGGCTAAACATTGAAAACTGCCGCATTAAAATGCTCTTACATGTTAGTGATACAAACACTACAGAGCCCACTCAGGTATTTATACTGTAACTTGTACCTGCTCCAGATGGAAGTTTTAAAAGTAAAACCAAAAGCTAGAAACTGCAACACTGATACGTCCTCTTTTCTTGGGACTCTTCTTTCATATGATTTAAATCCAGGTTCACTTTAAATAGCAGACTTATATTATCCCCAAAAGCAGGATAAAAAGCAATGTACAATCAATGGCCATGAACAAGATATATTGAGTAAAGTGAGAAAAAATGTTTAAAGAGGTGCATTTAGACTGCAGCTGGGTGAGAGGAATGACCTCGGTGAAGGTTTTGATTCTGCCATCTTATGCACTCCACCGAGTCCCCTCTACAGTGAGTAGTAAATCATCTCAAACAGAGCTTCAGACCGTTGTGCTCCACTGAAATGAACTTGATAAATCTAACCTTCTGCAACAACAGAAAAAACCTGATCTGTATTTGTGTAATATTTTAGTTCTGACATGTTTGGCTCAGAACACTTTGAAATATCTTGTCAAACTGGATCATACAATTTCACATAATGCTACTGAACTGTATCTTTTGTTAGATTATCCCTGCCTGGTAATGCCAAGGTGATTCAAATGTAACTCCCCAATTTCTATTAGGAATGTGTGGTCGCCTTGCTTCACCTTAGATAACCAATCAGGGGGATTTTCCTCACTATATTAAAGTTCACCTATTATGCAAAATGAACTTGTTGATGTCTTTTATACATAAATATTAGGGCTGTCAGTCGATTAAAATATTTAATTGCGATTAATCGCAATTAAAACATATTTTTGTATCTGTCCTAAATGTACATTAGAGGAATATTTTTCAAGTTTGTAATACTCTTATCAACATATGAGTGGACAAATATCCTTTATGCAAATGTTTGTTTATTATCATTGGAACAATGACAAATATTCTCCTGAATATTCTCAACACAACAACCTGGAACCTCTCTCTCTCTCTTACACTCTCTCCCAACCCTGTCTACTTCTTTGCACTGAGCCAGTTGCTCAAACAGACAAGCCTGTTTACAGTTGTAGGCGAAATGCCGCTCCTCTGTCTTCATCTTCAGTCAAAGCATGAGACTGAAGTTCCCACTGTGGGTCAAAATAATGCGCTGTGATGTGCAGTCGACATGTTGGATGCAATCCGAATTATCTAACGTAGCCCCTCGTCCTCCACAATGTTAAACTGTAGCCACCCATTTAGCTATCGCTGTTGTTGTCCAGGCGTCTCCCCGGCGCCAGGAGCGGTGTGCTTGGCTTGCTGTTAGTTATATGATGAGGCCTTCTGTG